TTTTCTCGCTTCACTAACATAATCAATGAATTGCCTGGTCTTGACAAGAAATTAACTATCCAAGAGACGAACTACAAGATCCTTCGTTCATTGACTCCAATATGGGAACCCAAAGCTACGGCCATAGAGGAAGCTCATGATCTCACCACTCTAGCTCTCGATGGCCTCATCGGCGAGCTTAAGGTTCATGAGAAAAGCTCAAGGGAAAGGAGAAGGAGGAAGTGCCCCTACGGAAAGTTGAGGAGTCATCACCAAAGATGAAGACCATTGCTCTCAAAGGAGCTAGTGACAACTCCTCATCATCATCGTCGGAGAGCTTTTGTCTTTTGTGATTCTCTTTGAAAAGAAAGAATGTTATTGAGATTTTCTTTACCTTTATTAAATTTGCTTACATTCAAACATATATCCTCATATTTTGATTTAAAATAAGAAATATCTTTATCTAAACTATTAATGCGAATTTTTAAATCATTACATTCTGATTTTAAATAAATATTCTCATTAGATAAACATTCATTTTCTTTAAGCAAAGAATAATTTTCTTCTTTCAATTCAATTACTTGAGAATTAGAAAAAGTAGAGGAATTTAAATCAGAAATTTCTTTAAGTAATCTTTTATTTTCACCTTTAAGAAAATTATGTGATGTCTTTAATCTCACAAAAGTTTCATATAATTCATTGAAAGCATCTAAAAGCTCTTCATTGTCACTTACTTCATCTTGTGCCATAAAACACATGTGAGCACTTTCCTTTTCTTCAATTTCTTCATCTAAAGATGACTCATCACTGTCATCCCAAGTGACTGCCATTGCTTTCCTTTTCTTGTTATTTTGAATGTTGTTAAAGTTGTTGAAACAACTTGATTTTTGCTTATTCTTCAACATTGGACAATCTTTCTTCATATGACCTGGTTTATTACACTTAAAACAAAGAGGGTTATTTGAAATTGAACTCTTAGATTTAAAATTACCTCGTTTTATAAATTTCCGAAATTTTCGTGCAAACATGCCCATTTCTTCATCATCATCATCTAAATCTTCTTTATCAGAAATAGTATTGAATGCAAGAACTTTCTTGTTCTTTGTATCTCCATCATTCTTTCTATCTTCAATTTGAACTTCATATGCCATAAGATTACCAATAAGATTTTCAACCATAAGAGTTGACAAATCATTGGCTTCTTCAATAGCGGTAACTTTATTTTCCCATTGTGGAGTAAGTGATCGAAGTATCTTTCTTATCATCTCCACTTGTGTATATGTTTTTCCAAGACCAATGAGAGAATTTGTGATGTCAGTGAATCTTGTGAACATTTCTCCAATAGTCTCGTTTTCCTTCATCTTGAACAATTCAAATCTGTGCACAAGAACAGAAATTTTAGATTCTTTAACTTTATTTGTACCTTCATGAGTTACCTCAAGTGTATGCCAAATATCGTATGCAGATGTGGCCGTTGACACCCTATTGAACTCATTCTTGTCAAGTGCACAAAATAATGCATTCATTGCTTTTGAATCCAAATTTGCATTATTTCTTTGGGAAGTAGTCCATTCTGTAAATGGAGTTGTTGGCTTCTCATATTTCGTTTCCACAACGTTCCAAAGTTCGTAGCCAATTGATTGAAGGTAAATTTTCATTCGGCACTTCCAATAGTTGTAGTTCAATCCATCGAACATCGGTGGACGATTTGTTGAGTGACCTTTTTTGAATTGTGAAGTATTTGTCGATGCCATCTTTCACCTTGCTCTGATACCAAATGTAGGATCTGAAATAGATACACTAGAATACTAGATGGGGTGAATAGTGTTCTTTTAAGATTTATGCAAAGTAGATTATAAATTACAAAGAAAAATGGCAATCTCAGAAATTTACAATCACAAACACAAGGTTTTATACTGGTTCCACCAATCTGGTGTACATCCAGTCCCCAAGCAAATCCTGCTTGAGAGTTTCCACTATGATTTTGAATAAACTTACAAAATCAAAAACAAACCTGACCAATTTGCAAGTCCCTGCAAATTGTAACACCAATTGACAAACACCTTGTTAATTTGAACATCAATCTCTAAACCAAGAGATTAACACCTCTCACAACTTGAGAGAACTTTTGAAGCAACAATTTCAATTCCTATAACCCTTGATTTGTAGTGTAGTGTAGTAGTGGCTTAGGAATGATTCTAACTTCTGTAAATTACCTAAACAATAAGTATTTGAATGATGTTTAGAGGCAATTTCAGAAACTTTTCTTTTTCTCAAAATCTGAATATTTTTCACTTGAAAAAATACACAAAGATCAAAGCTTATGGGTATGTAAGTCTGCATTTTTTCTGAACAGATAACCTATTTATAGCCCTTGAAAAGACAATTTTTTAAACTTTAAAAACGTTTAAAAACGGCTATAAACAGTCATAAATTCAAACTTTAAATTCTGAAAAAACTGTATCTGTAGTCGACTATAATACATATTAGTCGACTACACTGAGTTCAAACAGACTCATATTTATTCAAAAAATTTCTCAGTAGTCGACTACAATGCTCATTAGTCGACTACATTGTATTTTGACAGAAACTTATAAAATAAAATTTGCCTTCAGTAGTCGACTATAATGTTGATTAGTCGACTATACTGTAAAATGACAGAAACTTATGTTTCTGTCAAACACTTAAGTAGTCGACTATAATGTAAATTAGTCGACTATACTGTAAAATAACAGAAACATATATTTAAGTTTTATACACAAGTAGTCGACTACTATTCTAATTAGTCGACTACTAAGAGTAAAAATTATGAAATAAAAAGTTTTTATACTCAAGTTTTAACTATAATTCTAATGGTTAACATAGGGGATTTCTATAGTTAACCAACACACTAAGCCTGTGTTAGTGTGTTCTAATATTGTGTGTGTGCATGTGTGTGATCAAGGCTTGTACAATAATTCTAAGTAAAAAAATATAAAATACATTATCTCATATGTTCTTCATTTTCTTCACTTCCTAATGCCTTGAAATCAACTTGCACTTGTTCATATTCTGATATTGGAATCTGCATATAAAAGATATTAAGATGCCAAGATGGAATTCTTCCCTCCCAGTATAGGGGTTGATGTCATAAAATTGTTTGATATAACTATAACCTGAAAATCCTTGGCTGAGGTAAATAAGATAAACTGTGTGTCAGTTTGATCTTATAGGTTATAAGTTTAATATCAACAAACACTAATTGAGCAATTAGGGTTTGACAATTTTCCATACCCTAGTCTTAATAGTTTGACATGGTTTGACGAAGAGATCGGACTGTACGGTATTATCACTGAGTGGTCCTGATAAAATTATGTAAGCATCTTGCAGACATTTATCACAACTTATACCCGAATAGTCTTTATGTGTAGCTAGCACCTCTGTTGTACTTGTGGATATCATCCACAGCCGAGTTCTTAAGTTGGTCCCTAGAGTCACACCAAGCGCGTACTTAAACTATATGAAATACAAATTTATAGAGTAATGCGTATAATTGATACGCATATATGATTTTCACCGGATACACATAAACGGTTATGCATATCGGTAAAATCAGAATGCTATGTGCTTAGAAAATAAATTCCAATATTTTTTCTATAAAATTAACTTTTAGTCAACTAATTGACTTTTTGGTCAACTAGTTGACTTTTTGGTCAACAGTTGACTTTTGGTCAACTCATTAATTTTTTGGTCATATGATGACTTATTGATCAATGATTAGAAAATTACGAAATACCGTATTTATAAAATATTGTATTGATGTGGTATTTTCATTTATGAAATACGTACTTCATTATACCTTGATTAATGAGTCATGAGATGAGTCATTAAGGTGGTATGGTTTGGGAACATGGTTTTAGCACATAGTTTTGATTCTTAATGATTCATTGCATGACTCATGAGATGAGTCATTACATGACTCATGAAAGAATCATTGTTTTGATGACTCATGGTGTGACTCATAGGATGAGTCATTCATGTCATGACATATTTTTCTCTATAAATATGAGCTCTCTTTCTTCTTTCATGGTTAATGGACAAATAAAATAAATGGTTTATTCATAGTTGTTTTCCATAAAAGAAAAGAAGAGAGATCTACCTCTTACTAAACTCTGGCAATCTTTAAGTAAGAGGAACTAGTAGGATTTTAAAGTACCCCGGGGTGGATATCTTGCCTTGTGTCTCAAGAAGACTCCGATTTTATCAAGCCCACTTGAAGACTTGGAGATCCACTACGATGAGATTTTCTACTACAAGGAGCAAGAGCTAGGGATTATTCGATCTTCCATCGAATCACGCTTCGAAAGTATGACTTTCTAACTCTTGTATGCTCTCTTTAATATAAGGATTATGTTAGATTTAATTAGGATGGCTCTATTATGTATTTCATGCTCTCTACATGCTTAGCATAATTATACATATAGTATTCCGCTGCGTATTTTGTATGTATTTAGCACGTATTTCCTTCACTTGAAACATCTTGCAAGCTATTCATACGAGATAATTGCGATACTGAGGGGGGCTAAATACACAAAATTCTAGTTTGATGAGTTGCTTCATTATATAGAGAACTACAAGTACACTGAGCCACTTTCAGAAAAGCTTTACAAGCCAATTTTTATTGACCAATTTGGGTATCGATTGATTCCAACAAACAGAATATTCCATGGGCGCGGGTGTACAAAGAGAGAAAAGAACAAAGAAGCTCATTATTCTCAGCATGCTTGAATGCTGAGAAACACCAATATATACTTCATCAGCTTGTTTGAATAGAAATGAAGCTTCAAATAAACTCATTATTCGCAGCAAGCAACTATGCCGAGTGTTTTTTAATAGAGGATTACAAGAATGATACAGTGAATCGAACTACTCTAAATAATTCATAGTAATAATAAATAATTACTCAAATTTACAGGATAATCACGGATGCAGAACTAGTATAAAGGGCAATTAAAACTATTGAGTTCTATCACAAAATAATGTTGCCACAAAGGATGGTATGCTATAAGGAAAAATCATATAGAAGACAGATCACATATATAGAGTAAGGCGATGTTCACACCTGTCATATTACAAATCTCGATGGAGATACCACTGACACCTGTCATATTACAAATCTCGATGGAGATACCACTGATGTCTATTAGTACAGACACTATTGTCTACTAGTGCAGCTGTGAATGTTCTGATAATCACTAATAGGCAGTTGACTACATTATTAGTGATTGCATTAATACTGATGTGGCAGATGTCATCCCCTCCTTCCTCCTTGAAGATATTCTATATCTATAGATAAACATTTTTTTTTCCCATGGAACTCCAAACGAATCATTTCAAACTGTTAAGCAAACCACCCAAAGATCCAGTTAAATAGAACCTGTCACTTGATTTATCTGCAACTGCACTCAACTTGCAAGCTTGAATGCATCTATAAAGAGACCATACGTGAATCCCATCTTGAAATTATTTAAAAGTGCAAGAGAAAATGTTACCTTCGGCCGACTATAGTAAAACCTAGTAACATACTCCGTCAGTAGAACACAAATCACAGCAGCAATAACATCGTTCACACCCAAAGCCCCGAAGGAGAGAGATATTGTCTGAGCAACATAGAAACCACCGAGCAATGAGATGCCACCAAACAATGCTCTCCTTGAACGCCTCCTGAAATAGTTCTTTGAGATGTCGGGGATTATTCGAATAATGTCAACTAATCTCCGTGGCCCTTCACTTTCTTGTACTGCACGAATTTTGAGGTACCTAGTTTTGTAACTTTGAGGCAAGATTCTTGATCTGTTGAACGGGAACTTTGGTCCTGATTCTAGGCTCAATCTTGTGAGGCTTGTTGAGTAAGAAACTAAACCTAGAGCCATTTAAGAAACTTCAACCTGATAGCATCATATAAGAAGTTCAGTAGAAGGCATCCACACATTGAAGCAAAGCATTTGACATGCACATATTGTTACTATGCCTATGTAACTTATTGTGGAGTAAATAAAATCAATGCAAAGCGGAAAATTTCCAATGATATATAATTCTTCTGATAAGAACTTAATACTTCCACCTAGAAATATATAAAATAAAGATTGGTTTGTCTTCAGAAAGATGAAAGTTTAGCAAGTACGTTTGAAAAACTTATTGTTTACATAGAAACTTAGAAAGACAGTCCCAGAAGAATTTAAGTAACGTCATATATAAGGACAAACAATTCTAGTTGGCCCCACTATTCACATTATATTTTGCAAAAGGGGTGCATTTGATATAATTGTTGCAGGTATGTTTAGCGTATTACTGATCAGGAGAAAAAAAAATTTGGAAATGCAAGTGCTAAATAATTTAAAATGATATTGAAAAGAAAAATAAGAATACAAATTAACAAAACAGCACAACAATGGGTCTTTAACTTTTACTTGGCTATACAATCTCCAAGCAACAAAATGGGTTATTTGTTTCATTTGAGTAATCCAAGACAATCTAACAACAAGCATAATCATCAGGCATTTTGTGATGGCTTAAAATTACTTAAGAAATGTGAACTTCCAGAACAATATTTATCGGTCTGACAGAACTGCCAGTACTGTGGCTGTGAAAGAAACTAGCCATCAGGATACTGGCTCCTCATGTCTCATAGTTGTTGCACATGAATGGTCCATTAATCAAAAGAACTGCAAAGTTGTCCAGAAAATAGGATAACCAAAGAAGCTTATCAAGGGTGCCACTTGTCAGAGAGCTATATGCGTTTCTCAAACTAAGAAGACTTAATCTCAAACCAAATAATTCTATCTTTTGTTACTTTCTAGGTAACAGTCAGCTCTTTTTTTTTTTTTTTTTGATATACTGAAAGGATATAATTCCCATCCACAGACCGTAATATTACAAAGAGTAACCTAACTTTGTGCAAAACGTCTATCTATAAAGACCATATAAAAGCACCCTTGCTTATTGTGTCCTAAGCCAAGAATCTCGCATGAATCCACAAAGGCTAAAATATTTTGTGGTAGCATCTAAAAACTTGGCTAATTATTTTACAGGTATTCTGTCTTCCACAAACAACCCATTTTTATGAGAGAGAAAACTAGCATCGTGATGGTGATCTACACAGTGCATCAAAAGTGAATACAACCATCGAACTAGGCAGGTGGCTTTCATATCCTTGCCGGTATACTAGAGGAACTCCAAACTTATAAAAGGGTCGAGGGAAATATTTTATTCACAACTGCCTGCATGTTAAGTATCCTTTTGCATGTCAAAACATAGGCTAGATGAAATGCTTTGTCCTTACATTTTTCTTATCTCCTTAAGAGCACATAAATTTGAACCAAGATACTTACAGCATCTTCATGTCAGATTTATTGAGAAATGGAAGAACCCCGCGCACCTTATTTATTTAGACGGCAAACATAGCTGAAGTGAAGATAATCAAGAACTAGAGATTTAGGTCTTAAGCTTGCCTGGTCCATTGGAAAATTAACAAAAACACTCCACCGTTTGCCTGAAATATAAAATGAACTTAAACAAAAAGACAAGATCCAGTAAATCAGGATTACAGGATCTACACTTAATTAGAAGAGATTACTTAATTTTGACCACGAAGATGAACAAAAACATTTTGCTCCATTACTAAATTATTTGCCTTATCTATAAAAAAAAATTCTTCACTCGGCTTTCACTTCTTACATCATCTTATCAACATATATAAGCCTATTCACATCAAATGAAGCTGACCGTAGTGAATGAGTCAAAATGAAGAAACTTTGACAGGAGTTATCATGCATTTACAACTTCCCACTGTCAAGGTATATTTGTTTGTAGTGGGTAATTATGAAAAGTACAAGTACCATTAAGTTGATTCATCATATAACCACTCACTAACAACATTCTGAACAAAAATGCCCACGCCTATGTCCCCCTCGTCCTTGGTACTTCTCCAGGATGTACAATCCACCTTTTGCTCCATACTTCTTTTGGATGCCTGGATGTACAATCCACCTTTAACTCCTCCATCCTGATAAAGTAATAAATCTAAAGCCTGACGTTGTAGTGGAGCATTTAGATAATATATTCCAGAACCTTTTTTTTTCTTTATCTACCACAATCCTTTCTCATCATCCCTTTCCATTTTCCTCCGTTTTGTATCTACATGACTTAGAGCAGCTCCAACGTGGGGTTCTATTTTGCATCCCAAACTTTAGCATATTCCTTAGAATATGCTAAAATAGAGTTATGTAACTCCAACCACACTCCTCTATTTCCAACTCCATTTCAATTTCTCTCAATTTTTTAATTCTTTTACTTATTTTAAAAATATATAATGTATATATTTAAATAAAATTAATTTTCTTTAATAAATTGATAATAAGAAATAGAATTAATTTTCTTTAATTCTTGGAATTTTATATTTCAATTAATATTATTTAATATTACTCTCATTTTGAATATATAAAAATAATAAAAAAATAAAAGTTATATAATATAAATAATATTAGTAATAATATTATTAAATGTATTAATATAAAATAGGCATTCGGATTAAATTAAGCAGACATTCATATTACTAAATCCACAACTATTACATAGAAAGCAAAAACATGAATTGAAAATTACATGACAAATAGGAAAAACATAATACATGAAAAATACTAAAAGTCTAGAAAGTCAACTCCTCCGTATCCACCTCCCATGTAGTCAGGTATTCCATATTGACTTCCTGCGTAGCTGTATTCAGGATTAGGAATATCATATGAGGAACCCCTAGTTATATTTCTAGTTAAAATCTGTTGTTGTTTAATTCGAAAATATTCGCGTTTTGTTGGATCAGTAATAGCTTCCAGATCAACTAGCATAATTTCTTTCTCTTGTTCTTCTTGCTGAAGTTCTAACTTTTTCTTATCATTTTCAGCCGTTAACATCATAGCCTGGTTCATTGTCAATCTTTCATTTTCTCGTTGTTCTTTACCTTTTTTTAAAACTTCTAAGATCTCTTGGTTTTCTTTAGCAAAAGCTTCAAAGTCAATGTTCCTATCAATTTCTTTTCGTCTTCTCAACTTCTCTTTCTTTCTTCCAATAGGTCGACTAGCTGAAATGTCGATTAGCGAATGGTCGTCGTCATTAGTGGTATATGCCTGATTGTCTTCATTTAAGTCGATGACAGGAGAGCTTGAATCAGATCCTTGAGATAAGCGAGACTTTGAAGTTTTGAAAAATGCAGAAGGCATGATACTTATATTTGCCCACTTCTCTGCATCCTTCAAAATCGGCCAAATATGATCACATAGAAATCCTTTTTTCTCTTCTGGATCTTCTGCAAATATGATCCTAGCACGTTTATTCTACCACAAAAGAAGAAATGATTATTAGAAAAGGTGGAAAATAATTTATTAACCAAGAAACATGTAATTCATATACTTACAATATCAAGTTCAGAAGCACCGCTTCGATTGAGGCGCTCAACTTGTCGAATGCATCCTCGAAATTTACTGATGGCTTTCATAATTAATTGCATTCGGCATGAAAGAGACTTTGGACTCCTATGTCCGGTGCAAACGTTGGAAATCCTTTCGTGAAATAGAGCTGAAATTCGCTCCCATAGCTTGTCTTTCTTTTGATTCGTGAAATAGAGCTGAAATTCGCTCCCATAGCTTGTCTTTCTTTTGATTGGAACCTAAAACTGGATCCTGAGATATTTCAAGCCATGTAGCTTGTCTTTCTTTTGATTGGAACCTAAAACTGGATCCTGAGATATTTCAAGCCATGTAGCGCATAAAATTTAATCTTCTTCTTGTAAGAATGATTTTCCGTGACTGGATGCCAAAAGAGAAGGATGAAGAGTTGTTGAGAAGCAAGGTTTTAAATATCGGCCGATAATCCGATATTATCCCCGAGTTATCGGTTTTGAGAGCTTTCCGATAGGATAAGTTAGAATTTAAATCGGTTATTTTTTTTAGGGTTTATCGGCGATAATGCGGCAATAAAGGTGATTATCGGCCGATATTAGCAGCTCTAAAATCGGAATTATCGGGCCACACTATTAGGTTGTGATTTTGGGTAATGGACAGTTTTTGAGTGAACTTGAAACCCGACACGACCCGTTCTTTACAATAAAACTTAAACTCGATTAAGTAGCCCTAATCCTCTGTTCTCTCTCCCCTCATTTGTGCGGTTGTGCCCACTGCCCTAATCCTCTGACTCTATTTCTCTTTGGACTCCGTCGACGTTGACGCTCTCATTCGCCGACTTCGACGCTCGCCTCCGCTCTTCTTCGGACTCCGTTGACCTCAACGCTATCAACTTCGACGCTGCTCTCTCATCAACATTAACTTCATCGACTTGACGACTTCGACTGATGTTGTGCTCTCTCCATCGACGCCATCATCAACTAATCTGATTGACTCGATGACGTTGAACGACGCTGAGCTCTCCATCGATGCCGAGCTCTCTCCATCGACGCCATCATCAACTGTGACTTCGAAAGTTTGACTTGGACTCTCCATTGACGTCACGCCCTCAACACAACTTCTGAAGTTATAGAAACAAATAATATTCACCATTTAGTTGGTTTTTTCTCTAGTTATTTAGTGAAGGTTGAGAGAATGAAAGAGTGGAGTATGGTTAGATTACAATTTGGGTTATTATATTATATATACACAACATACGATATATCACTCCGATAAATACTACTTATCCCCGATATATCCCCGATTTCCGCTATCCGATAAGGATTTAGCCGTCCGATAAATCCCCGATAATCGATATTCAAAACCTTGTTGAGAAGAGCTATGGAGGAGGAATGAGAAGAGTTGTGATGGAGGAATGAGGGATCCGCTAGTATTTATAGTAAAAAAATTATGGGTAGAAAACCAATGCTAGTGGGAGGATCCAATGTGGGTAGAAAACGATGTGGGTTAGAGAATCCAATGTGGATAGAAAACGATGCGGGTGAGAAAACTAATGCTAGTGGAAGAATCCAATGCTGATGGGAGAATCCAATGTGGGTAGAAAACGATGCGGGTGAGAGAATCCAATGTGGGTAGAAAACCAAAGCTAGTGGGAGGATCCAATGTGGGTAGAAAACAATGCGGGTGGAAGAATCCAATGTGGGTAGAAAACCAATGCTAGTTGGAGAATCCAATGTGGATAGAAAACGATACGGGTAAAAGAATCCAATGTGGGTAGAAAATCAATGCTAGTGGGAGGATCCAATGTGGGTAGAAAACGATACGGGTGGAAGAATCCAATGTGGGTAGAAAACCAATGCTAGTTGAAGAATCCAATGTGAGTAGAAAACGATGCAGGAAAGAATCCAATGTGGGTAGAAACATTATATAATAACACAACATACACCTATTAACAACTCATCACCAATCTATAATTCATTTCTCCAAATCCCCTCTTCAACAATGAACTATGGAGCTGGACCATCACACCTACCTTCTTCTTCTTCTTCTGATGACGAAACATTTTCTCATTATGTTGAACAATAGGAGGAGGATATGAAACAATGGGAAGAGGATGAAATCTTAGCTCGTCTATATGCCTCTAACAATGAAATAATGGCTTATTTCATTAAAGAGGAAGAGAGGCCAAAACGTATCGGCTCAGTTCCTGGTCATTTGGTAATCAATCGCGGGAGGGAAGAAGGTAATTCTCGACTCTACAATGACTATTTTTCTGATAATCCCACATACGGTGCAAATTTATTCCGTAGAAGATTCCGAATGCAAATGAGTCTTTTCCTTCATATCGTCAACGTTGTACGAGAGCACGATAACTATTTCATACAGAAGGTGGATGGTGTCGACCGGCTTGGACTATCTACTTTACAAAAAGTAACAGCAGCATTTCACATGTTGGCATATGGTGTACCGGCAGATAGTACTGACGAATATGTAAGGATTGGTGAGTCAACTGTAATTGAATGTTTGAAAAAATTTTGCAGAGCAATTGTAGAAGTGTATGGAGATGAATATCTTAGATCCCCCAATACCAACGATGTTGCAAGACTGTTACAAAAAGGTGAAGAGCGAGGTTTCCCAGGAATGTTGGGAAGTCTAGACTGTATGCATTGGGAATGGAAAAACTGTCCAACGGCATGGGCGGGACAATACTCAGGACGTCACGGAGGCCCAACCATTATTCTTGAGGCAGTAGCATCGTATGACCTATGGATATGGCATGCATTCTTTGGTTTGTCAGGTTCTAATAACGATATTAATGTATTACAAGCATCTAATTTGTTTGACAACCTAACGCAAGGTATTACTCCTCCTGCTCATTATACAATTCAAGGAAAGAATTATGATGTCGGTTATTATTTAGCCGATGGCATATACCCGAAATGGCCAACCCTTGTTCAAACCATTTCCAAATCCGAAGATAAAAAAAAAACAATATTTTGCAATGATGCAAGAAGCTTGTCGAAAAGATGTGGAGCGAGCGTTTGGTGTTCTCCAGTCAAGATTTGCTATAATCAAGGGCCCTGCACGGTTTTGGGATAAACGAACTTTGCATGATATCATGACCACTTGCATAATAATGCATAACATGATTATTGAGGATGAACGTGATGAGCAAGAAGATATTATCGTTTCTACTCCATCATCAATTTCAAATGTTGAAGATATAGGGACGAACGATGCCGAACGGTTCCGACAATTCCTGACCCGACATAAGAAATTCAAAGACAAAGAAGCACACTTCGCACTTCGAAATGCATTAATTGAACATTTGTGGGAGAGAGACGGCAATGAAGTGATGTAACTTTTTTTATTAAAGTTTCGATGTAATTCTAAGTTAATGTGTTTTATTTCAGTTTAAACTCCAATGTATTATCATTTCTAATTACTTGTTTTGCAATTTTATATTTCGATATTAGTCTCATTTTGAAGGTATCGACGAGACATTTCCAATGATATTATTTTCATTAAAAAATATTTAATATATTAATATATATATACAGATTTTAAGTAACTATAAAAAATAATAACGGGATACAATTGGAATAATGAAATGTTGTTAAAGAGATTGAGGGTTAACTTTGGTATTTTTTTTGGGGAATAGTAATATAGAGTTGGCTGCAAATTTGGAGAGAAATCTTCAAATTTGCAGCCTCAAGAACCGATTTTGCAGCTAACTGCAAAATATGCAGTTCGGTTGGATGGAGATGCGGCTCCAAAATGGAGATACCGCGGACGATTGGAGCTGCTCTTAGGAGGTAGGCTCTAAAATCAATCTAGGGTATTGAAAACGATGGAAGTCATCAAGAAAAACAGTAGGTGTTTAGAGTAGGTTACTGTGCAAAATGTAAGAGGAAAGATGGAATGAGACAGTAGCGCAGGAGAGGGACAAGAAGACAAAAGCGATTGATGGAGACATAGCAAATGTCACACAGAAAGAAATACTGGAATTAGTCAAAAAATTAAGTTTACATCCACTTCAAGATTGTCCAATATGTATAAAGTGATTTGGCACAATGGTATCTCGCTGCCAATAATATAAACATATACAATTCCTCTATAGTATCATTTTAGTCTATAATCATGAGAAATACTATGATTATAGAACTCATAAGTTGTAGTAATTGACAATGAAATCACTACCTCAGCAAATTGGGTCATCAATAGGACAAAAAGATAATGATCAGATGAAATGCATGGTACATGCCCAAGCTAGCACGTTTTACTACACAAAGTTCGTTCTTTCCCTCATTCTCTTTTTTCTGTTTTGTTTGTACTAAATAGTGGAAATCTATATTCAAAATTTCATGGATTTTCTGTACAGGTTCCATTTACTGACAGATACAGAAATCCACATAACTTAAAAATCTATTTTCAGTAACAAAAACTTAAGAAATTTAGGAACTCATTTGGAGGTTCAAAGAAGAATAAGCAGCAGTATTAATTTATAAGTTCCTTAAAAGATGTAAAGTCACCCACTAAAGTTAAATTTTAGGTTTCAGCCCCTACTTGGCCCCTAAACTCTTCAATTTGTCGCTTCATACCCCCCTGAACTATTTTCATCTTACCCCCCCCCAACCCCCCCAAAAAAACTATTTTTAGTCCCACATTATCTCTTGACTATTACCTTTGTTACCAAGTTACCACTTCTCCTTTATTAATTTATGGGAATTTTAAATGGATAAAGTGATAATTCAAGTGGTAAGGTGGGACTGAAATGATAACACTGTGGGTAATGTGTGACCAGGGGTAAATATGGGCGAGTTCAGAATCCAGGAGTAAGATGAGACTGAAAATAGTTCAGAAGTATTGAAAGGACCAAATAAATAGCCCAGGAGGCAAGTAGGGGCTGAAGCCTAACTTTTAAGAAGAAGCCAAGCAGATTCCATATAGATCCAAAAGGTTCACATTTTCTCAAAATAATATCACGGAGCAAATAATATACAAAAGGAAAATTTTCAATATTCTTCAAATAGTTGAATTCTTGCTGAATAAGGTTAACTCAAATCATTAGCGAGGCATAACCGTAAAACCTTCACATTATCCAAAAAACTGAGTAATCTAATTACATAACCAGGGATTTCTTAAGTTGAGAATACCCAATAATTATTGTAGAAAAGGAAATTGATACAAACAGCAAATAAACCCAATTAGTGGCAAAGAAAGAGAAACCCACATGCTAATTGATTGATTCAATCGAAATACCAACAAAAAGAAAATTCAAGAAATGATGACTATTTGCCTCAAAATTTATTCTACCATCACATTAAACCCAGCAAAAAGAAAGATAATAACTTCATACAAACAAAATAAAGAATGAAATATGTATGATATAATTCATACTGTATTACGAGCAAGAGAGAGATGCACCTTGAATCCTAAAATGGGCTTGTTCTTTTGAGAGTGGAAACAAGAGGAAATGGAACAAAAGGCTTGAATGTATAACGGGTCGTTTTCGGGTCGGATCCCCATACCCAAACGAGGCAGCATTCAAAGGTTGGGTTTTTGGCATGTTAGACCCTCATATCTTCTTTAATGGTATATGACATCTCCAAATTTTCATATTTCTAAATTAGACCCCAAATCTCTTTAAAGTTATTCTGAAATTACCCTCTTAGATGGATATGTTCAAAAAAATTTACCATAGCGTTACCGTAGCGTTATTAACTCTCAAATGTTCAACTGTTTTGACTATTATATTAACACTCTTATGATATAGTTTCCCCTTATTTCTCTTTGTTGTTCTCGACCTCTCTCGTCTCTCATCTTTTGCGATCGCTCGTTTCTTTAGTATTTATGTACCTAAAATAGCCTTTTAAGCCTTCAGTTTGAAGGATTTCAAGATCGTACCAGTCTGAAGAAAGCAATACACAAAAGAATGATGGAGAAAATAGGGGCATCTATGGTTAAATCTAACCATGGTGTCTTTTTAAAACAGTTCAATGAGATTTGGGGGAATGCTTTAGAAATATGAATACTTGAGGGCCAAATATACAAGTAACAAAAGGGTCTAATCTGAAAACCCTCTAAGAAATTTTCATCCTTTTTTCCCCTTAGTTATTATTAAGTTTTCATTTGTTGACTATTCTCCAACCGATCTAAAGACATAGCTACATTTTATTACAAGCACCATATATTCAAATAAAATACAAATTAATTATAATAACAATAATATGGTACTTATATTGTAATATATGCATATAGCAAAGCGATTTTCTATAGAGATTGACTCGCAATTTTTCAAATGTGAAGCATAATCTAATTAGTAGAGGAACGTTGATGGTCCAACATCATACTCACTTTAAAAGTGCGAGTTCGAGAAAAGTTTTTCATGGTCACTTACCTTTTACTATTTTAAATATTTTATTAAAATTTTAATCTATCCTAATCATAATAATATCACATCATAATCCCATATGAGCTATCTACGACTCATCAATTTAAAAATATATATAATTAGTTAAACAACAAAACAGCTCCTCTGCAGTGTTATCGAGGCGTGAGGCGCAATGCAGGGCGCAAAGCCTCCTTACGCGCACCATGCGCAAGCCGCATAACGATGCGCGCGCCTCACTGAATTGAGGTGCACACCTCAAACAAATATTTTTCAACATAAGACAAACAAGCATATAAGCAACATATTTATAATTTGTCACATAAAAAGATTAAGAAATATAATTTCACCTACTAAATCACGAAAGAGTTTTAATTAGCATGCATAACATAGTGAAGTTCATAAATTTCCACAAATCACAATGCAAGATAATCTCCAACATAAGCAAAAGTCTACGAAACAGAACAAGCAAGTAACAAATAAGAAATATGTATTTTTATTTAAAATATGATATGTATTTTTAAGTAACAATTAAGTGATTAACAAACATGATTGTTCATAATTTTCTAGTTAGTATTTTTAATTGCTATTTGTTAGTTAGTATGAAAAGATGGAGAATGGAGGTAACAATTATATATTTACATGTTCATAATTTTCTAGTTAGCATGCTAATTAGAGAAGAAAGTTTTAGCAAACAAGTATATTAAATTACTAATTATTGTTTTTTTTATAGGTTAAACATGAAAAGATAGAGAATGTATTAACAACTAGCAAGAAAGAGTCTATTACATGATGTAAATATGTAATTATGTAAATTATTTTTAAAAAGAAAAAATAGAAGAAAAACAAAAGAAAAACAAAAGAAAAAAAAACTAGAAAAAACAAAACAAACCTGATTTCTCCAGAGATAGTCGACGGCGACGACGTTCGGGGTCATCGGTCGTTATCGTCGTCAGCCGACTCGTTGGGGTTAGGGAGGGAGCAGGCAAGCAGAGAGAGAGGAAGCGGACGCGTGAGAGAGGAGAGAGAGAGAACGGCGGGTTTTGAAACCCTAAAATCAAAACCCATTCATTTTACAAACCGAGTTTATGAAATCAGCGGGTTTCATACATGAAACCCATCTCATTTTACAAAACAGGCAGGATTCATTTTACAAATTGGGTTTATGAAATCAGCGGGTTTCATACCTGAAACCCGGGTTTCAGGTTCATACCTGAAACCCATCTCATTTTACAAAACAGGTTGCGGCGCATGCACGATGCGATGCGCCCGACGCAGGTGCCAAGCGCACACGAGGCACGCGCCTCGTATGTGTGCAGCGCCCCGCCTCTGATGCGGGGCGCATTTGTCCCAATCCGCAACGCCCTACGCCTGGGGCGCGTCTGGGATACGTGTCTCGATAATAGTGCTCCACTGTTTTAATTTGTTAAGGTAATGAACTAACATGCTATAATATATGAGGCATTACAAAATAACCCAAAAATTTTCAAAAATTACACAAAATATCCTCAGAAGTTTAAAATTACACAAAATATCTTGACATTTCAAAACTTAAAATAAAAAGCATGAAATCTGGAAATTGACAGCAGCCTCCGAAGAATTTAAACTATCCAATTAGCACCGTCAATGTTTCAAAATTTGTAGAAACGCCCTCCAAAGTTCATCCTCAAATTATGAAATTTCAAATTTTGCTAACAACAAAGATAAATTCAAGGGACTATAATCACGCTTATGAAAATTTAAAATTTGAAAAAAAAATAACCTTAAATTTATAAAAATTACAAAAAAAACTCCTTTAAATATTAAAAGTCACAAAAAAAACCTAAAATTTCAAAACCTATAACCGATACATATTAAATCTAGAAATTATCAGCAAAGCACAGAAAATTTGAATTTTACAAACAACAATATAAAGTTTTAATGATTGTAAAAAAACACCCTCAAAATTTTAAAGTTGCAACACTATACTTTCTTAGGTCATGTTTGATTTCATGTTTGTCCAAATAACATGATGTTAATGTCAATTATCAAACAGGGGACTATTTACAGGTTTGTGGAGTGATTAAGGTCATCTAACTCCTTCTGATGAATGGTTTTGAGATTTATTATTCTTGCACACAAAAAACTCGTAAGAGAGCGGAGTTGGGCTCTCCGGTTGTTCCTCTAATGATCAAATCAGTAAATGATCTTGAGTGGGATCTTGAGTGGGAAAATATAGGGTTAGCTCTTAGTTGTGTAAAAAATGTCAGAGAGAGTTACATCATGTAATGTCTCTCCTTTGAATAGTGACTCTGAAGGACAAGAAGGTAACTTGGATCGAGTCCAACTAGACAGCTAAGTCGGCAGACAACTGATAGGTGTCGCCCGCTAGCAACGGTGAGCCATCCAGATGGTTAGTGTCAAGCGACAGCAGCTGCTTGGTGCTATCGGTGCCTGACAAGTCATAAAGACTTTCTGTACTAGAGCAATAATGACGTTGTCGGAGTAGTTAATGCAAGAGCAAACGGCTGCCAGCTCAGGGTTCGAGAAAACTACCAACTCTTTTAGTCATCTAGATGTTGGCCGACTACATATGTTAACGGCTGATACAATGAGTCGAGTGGGAGTTATTTGCAAGGGCGATTAGCCGGGTTGGACGACAACTACCGCCTTTTAACTCAGTTATACAAGATGTCGGCTAAATAGTGGGCCAAGTCCGGACTCTTGTGGAATCAATTAAAGGGTTGACGCCTTTTGACTCGGTTACGCCAGATGTCGGCCTATCAAGTCGACCATGCTGAGGCGGGGATTATCTTGATCTTGAATTAGTCGTATTATGTATAGCTTAAGATATGTGTCGACTGCTCTGTGAAGATCAATATTTAATATTTTTAGGGGTATAACAGTAGGCCTCTTTCACTTGGAGTTGGCATAGGCCGGGTACGCGTGAAATGAGATTCTGGACTTGCTGAGTCACGAGGTGCAATAATAAGGGGTGATTGAAAAGTCCCTTGGATGTAACGTGGCTTAAATCAGCGGATATCTTTTGATTGTTGTCGCCTCGTCTTTCGTGCCTAATTATTGGCTACTTAAGGCAGGCGTGCCTTGCCTCGATTTCGAAGGGGTCATTTCGAATTCTGGAGTTAATCTCAGTCGTTGGTTTGGAACTAATTGGGCCATTAGGATGTTAACATCTATTGATCCAGCTGTTTATGAGTACGATGACTGTGAAGAGAGATATCCAAGTATACGGTAATATAAACTTCATATGTGTTCATTAAGCTTTTCTTTTTCTTTTTATATTACTATTTTTATTAATCGTATTTACGAATTAAAAATGTACAAAATGACTAAAAAATGTATTTACGAATTGAAAATGTATTTAAACCTGGGCTTGGAGAAAGAACTTATCAAAAGAACGATCATGAACTAGGCCCCAGTTCTTATAAAGTGGGTAGTCCATGATTTGGTGGCTCACTTGCCTCACATACTGTCCAAATCTCTCGGCATTGGGGCCTGTGACACGAAAATACTCATCAAAATGTAAGAAGATTGTCGATTTATTCTTCTCAGGATCGGGCCTTAATCGATTGGCTTTATTTCTCTTGAACGTTCTGGGACGTCCGTAGCAGATCTGCATCAAAGTGCAAGGGGATTTCACAGTTTATTAGAAAAGTTAAACAAACCATGATAGTATGGAATATTTTGTATTCTCATAAATCGGTCTATTGGCATCTTTCATGTATTTCTCATATTCATCTACACGTTCTTGTCCCGAAGGATAATTATCTTTAGCAAGATTAGTGTCGCCAAAAGCAGCTTCTACCATTTCCTCCACCTCCTATTCTGCAAATAAATTTTCTTCATTGTCTTCTTCTTCATTATCGGCAATATTATGAGCTAGAATTCCTCCGTGATATACCCAAATTATATAATCTCTAATAAAACCATATTTAACAATGTGAAGTTTTACATCTTCCTCCTTGCGATGCGGCCTATACCCACAATGACTGCACGGACAAAGGATCATCCCATTTTGGATCCTATCGCATTCACGCACAAATTTTATTAAAGAAGCAACTCCTTCAATGAATTCAGACTTTGTGTGTTTTTCACGATTCACATACATCCAATTATTAACTCTGATATAGTCACGTGCCATAGTAACCTAAATAAGTCAAAGTTTGCGATAAAAACTCTTAGAATTATGCACGCTTGCATTAAAGGATAAAATCGGTAATTCACAAATATCAAATTGAGGATAAAATGATAATAGAGACATTTTAAGTTAAAAGTTTGAAACATTTTTCTCATAAAAAAGTAATTGATACATTATCTATGCAAGCATATATTATGAATATGTATTTTGTGTGTTCATTAATATCCTACTCATTATAGAAGCATTCTTTGTGAACCAAAAGCTTGCTAGTATGAGAGAGTAGGCGCAGCTTGCTCAAGTAATATTCAAGCCATTGATGTTCTTATGGTCAATTAGCGCGATCTTTATGTTTCTTATAATTGCATTAGTCTAAATATTAGATATGTTATTAGGGAGGAGAAGTAGTTTAATTGTGACGTCAGTCAGTTTCAAGTTAGGGATTATTAGTGTTTCTGCATTAAACTGCAAAAGTTTATACATATACAGGAGGGTAAGTGTAATCTTTTGTTTTTCTTGAATATTAATTGGAACTATATGTAAACTTAACTAAAAAAGATATGAACAATAGTTAGAACTAAAAGTTTTATGAATAATGTTTTAAAACTAATGAATGATGCACATGAAGAAATCTAACATGTAACTAGTAACAGTTTTTGCTTTACTAAAGAAATAATGCACATGAGAAAAGGTTTACGAGACATAGGCATTATTACATTTTTTCATCATGCCACATATAGTTTTTTTGGGTTTTTATTTAATATGTTCTTTATTGCAGATCCTAAAAGAGAATCAACAAGTTTTCAATGTCCTCCTGCAAAATTGAACTACAGACATAAGAACACTAAAAGTATATAATTCACAAAATCATATGACTAAATTTTACTTTCATAGAAAGTTTCATTCATATTACAACTACACCATACATACAAACAAAAGAAAAGGCTCTAAAAGATATATACTAGAGTTTGTGACTAACCCATTCCATACCTTATATTATCAAAGTTTTTCACTTATAATGATATTTAAGTATGACAAATATTATCATCTTTCAAGATATAATTCTACTACTTCTCATGTAACAACTCATAAACTTATTGATCTGTAACATAGAATGAAAAAATTATAGTTCAATTAACTTGTGATTACAAAAAGAAAACAGAAGAAAATTACAAACTTATATATAGATAAGCAACCAGCACCACAGATAGTCTGAAATTTTTGTAAAAAATGTAAATTAAGCTTCGCCATGGTATAAATTAAACACCTAAAACAGTAGCATGGTATGAACTAAACACTAAATTTTTTTCATAGTTTTTATTAGATCATGATATATTTCATTTTGCTAAAGCCTGCAATCAAACATTTCAGGAATCAAGTCAAAAGTCCTATGGATGTTTTTGTTAAAATCTGACCTGTGGACCTGCAGTGACACCGATCCGTAGCTTAGGAACCAAGCTTCGCCAAGGACTTAGGAATCACGGCGGAAAATAGGAGCAGCGGCGATCTCCAAGCGGTGGAAAAGAGGGGAGAGAGCGGCGAGGCTGCAGTTCACGGCAGCGAATGCTAGGGTTTTGAGGGGAGAGAGTGGCGGCGATCTCCAAGCGGCAGTAACGATCTCCGAACGGTGGCAGCGGGGATCTCTGAGCGGCGGCGAAGGAGGAGCTTTGATTTGGGGGTGTTTTTTTTGTTCGAGAGGGGGAACGCAAAGAAAAGGGTAAGGGCCTGTTTGTTTCAAAAAAAAAGACCGAAAGTGGGGGAAAAGAAGGAAGTTTGATGTTTTCCTTCACTTTTAGGGGATGTTTGTTTTGTATCCCAAAATTTATGGATATGGAATTCACCATAGAATTTAAAATCTATAAAATTTTTTACATGTTTTGGGATCTCTAAAATTTTGTTTGTTTTATCAATATTTTGGGATTTGGAATACCAAAATTTGTAATATTTTGTTTGTTTCAACAATATTTTGGGATTTGGAATACTATAATTTGTAATATTTTGTTTGTTTCATCAATATTTTGGGATTTGGAATACTATAAATTATATATTAAAATATTATATAATATTTTAATAACATATATTATTATAATATTATATAATATTTTGGGATTTGGAATACTACAGCATGAACAGTGATTATTGGGTCCTCCTATATATATTATATATTATATATATAATATTATATATATATTATATATTATAGATATAATTTATATAATATATAATATGTGGGTTGAGAAGAGGATGACCAAAACACAAGAACAATTCAGTATAAGGCGAAGGAAAATACCTTCTCTAGATTATGAAGAACAAAAGATTACAATCTCTCCCTCACAATCTCACTCTAGAATTGAAGAACAAGCTCTCCAAATCTCAATCTAGAATCTAATCTCTCTTGATTAAACTCTCTGATCTAAAAGATCTCCTCTTGATTCTAAGATCTCATAGAATCTCATAATCTAAACCCTAATCCTTTTGATTAGGATCTCACTTAGACCTAAAAACTCTTTAGATCTACATCTTGGTCTCTAACCTCCTGTTTAGAACCCTAAACAGTCCCTATTTATAGGGTTTACAACGTGGTGGCAATCTGGTAAATAATCAAAACCAAACCCAGCTAGGATTCCTTCCAAACAGAAACCAAGTCTGCCTAGGAAACCTCGATGAGTCGACTCATGACTGAGATGAGTCGACTCGACAGAAACTGGAGAAATCTCAATAACCAGCGATGAGTCAACTCATGTCAATCATGAGTCGACTCAACCTGATGAGTCGACTCATGTACCGTATGAGTCGACTCACGAGCTGAAATCTGGATTCTTCGAATCTGCTGCTCGCCGTCTCGTTCCACGCTTCCACCTGTGCTCCGTCGTGTCGCTTCACACCACTATTCTCAAGATATCATGAGAATCACCTATCCTTAAGCTCCCATGAGGATTGCTTTTCCGAAGAGAAGATACACCCATATCATGGGTCCCCCCTTTAGAAACTTTATGTCCCTATCAAGTTAGAACTTCAGCCGAGGAAACTCTCGAGCCCCTCCATCTTTGTTTTCTTCAGTCATCTTCTTATTCCTTAGTCTCTGAACTCTTTCCAAAGAAAAAGGATCTCGCCAAGCTTCTTGTATTGCGATCGAGTAAGGACCATACACAGGATGCCCCTTCACCGGATCTGATGCTCTGATACCAACTTGATACGAGTTGCCGTGCGAGCACCCTTTGGTCGCGGAATTACCAAAAGGTGGGTTGAGAAGAGGACGACCAAAACACAAGAACAATTCAGTTTGGTGAAGGAAAATACCTTCTCTAGATTATGAAGAACAAAAGATTACAATCTCTCCCTCACAATCTCACTCTAGAATTGAAGAACAAGCTCTCCAAATCTCAATCTAGAATCTAATCTCTCTTGATTAAACTCTCTGATCTAAAAGATGTTTAGAAACCCTAAAACAATCCCTTATATAGATGTACAAACGTGGATGGCAGTTTGGTAAATAACCAGACCCAAAACCAACAGGAATTCGTGTGAACAGAAACCCAAACGAACCAGGAAACCATCGATGAGTCGACTCATGACTGAGATGAGTCGACTCGACAGAAACTGGAGAAATCTCAATAACCAGCGATGAGTCGACTCATGACAGTCATGAGTCAACTCAACCTGATGAGTCGACTCATAACAGTCATGAGTCGACTCACAGGCTGAAAACTAAATCTGGATACTTTGACTCTTCGATTCTCTGCCTCGTACCTCGCTCCAACCTGTGTTCCCTTGTACTATTTGACACCTCTATTCTCATTCTATCATGAGAATCATCTATCCTCAAGCTCCCATGAGGATCGCTAAGTTCCGAAGAGAAGATACACACGTATCATGTGTCCCCTCTTTAAGAACTTGAAGTCCCATTCAAGTTAGAACTTTTGCTGAGGAAACTCTCGAGCTCCTCCATCTTTTCTGCACCACCTGGCCTTGCTAGGAATCCGGTCTCGACGTCCGATCGGAAACAACTCATTCGTCCCACGTCTCGTCATAGTCACCGTTCACTCTAAGTTGCAATCCTTTGTCGATGGCTTCTTTGGAAGTCTAATGCACAGCGAGACAAACTTCTTGCTTGCATTCACTAGTCTCTTCGCTCGCGTCACCGTCCCCAAGCTTATCTCCTTCGGAAGAGATGCTGAACGAAATATGAACTTTACACCATCCTTAGTGAAGGAGTACTTCTGAGCCCGCCTCTCGTAGATCGCATATCTATCCCATAAGTACGGATTGCCCAGTATAATCTGACAAACATCCAATGGAACGACATCGCATGTGACCTCGTCAATATACGACTCGTAGAGCGCAAATCTGACAGTGCATTGATCAACTACACTCAGTTTCTCCTCGTTCTGAATCCACCCCAATGGATAGGGCTTCGGATGCTTGACCGTCTTCAGACCTAGCTTCTGCACCAATCCAAGCTTGTCTCCCTCGGAAGAGATGTCGAACGAAATATGAACTTTTCACCACCCTTGGTGAATGTATACTTCGGAGCCCGCCTCTCGTAGATCGCATATCTATCCCATAAGTACGGATTGCCCAGTATAATCTGACAAACATCCAATGGAACTACGTCGCATGTGACCTCGGCTCTGTCATCCCCGGGATTTCCTTCGGACCTTGAGCTATCATGTATGCCTTTTTCTCCTCCTTCCTCTTCAACCCTCTTAGTTTCAGATGAGGATACTTCTCCCAGCACCGATCAGCTTCGTACCCTGTCTTCTCGCAGTGACTACAAATCAGCACTGCTTTCCCTGGATCACCCTTTTTCTTCTCCTCCTTAGATTGAGAACCACTAGACTCGCCTCCCGTCTGTTTGGAGTCTCCCTTAGCCTCGTTGCCCTTCTTTTGCCTACCCTCAATGGCAATTGCCTTCACGCTCGCCTCTGCAATTGATTCCACCTTGAATAGCCTCATCTCCTTTCGGATGTGATCGCTCAATCCCGCCATATACTTCATAAACACGGAATATTCCTCTGTCGCAATGTTTAGGACCATCGCCTGCTGCTGGAACTTCGTAGTGTATTATTGAACGGTTTGATTGACCCTTTGGCGCAAGCCGTACCACTTGTACCAATGTTCTTCAAGGAATCCCACCGGATAGAACTGTTTCCTAAGTAGCTCCTTGAACTTGTTCCACGACACCGCCTTCTTGTCCTGCTTGCAGTAGGATTTCCACCACGTCAACGCGTGCCCTGAAAGCTTCAAAGTCACGAACACAATCATCTCTTTCGACGAATAGCCATAAAGAGTAAAATACGTCTCCATCCGCTCGATCCAGTCATCAAGCCTCTCGACGTCAACACTCCCATCATAAACAGGAATCTCCACCTTAAAGTCAATCTTCAGGTTTTGATAAGAATTCTTACCACCTTGATGCAATACAGTCTTAATGGTCTCCTCCTCCTCGTCGGAATCTGAATCTACTCTTTCCACATCGGACTCAACAATTTTCTTCGAAGAAGATTCCTCTTGTTTGCCACCTCCATGGATAAGACTGACGAGTTGTGTGAGAGTTGAACCTATCGTCTCGATCTGCTTCTCCAATGCATCAATCCTCGTTGAATTGTCTCATTCAGCCATCTTCTTCTTCCTTAAAACTCGGACTCCTTCCAATGAAATAAGGATCTCGCCAAGCTTCTTGTATTGCGAACGAGTCAGGACCATGCACAGGATGCCCCCTTCGTAGGATCTGTTCGCTCTGATACCAACTTGGTACGAGTTACCGTGCGAGCACCCTTTGGTCGCGGAATCACCAAAAGGTGGGTTGAGAAGAGGACGACCAAAACACAAGAACAATTCAGTTTGGCGAAGGAAAATACCTTCTCTAGATTATGAAGAACAAAAGATTACAATCTCTCCCTCACAATCTCACTCTATAATTGAAGAACAAGCTCTCCAAATCTCAATCTAGAATCTAATCTCTCTTGATTAAACTCTCTGATCTAAAAGATGTTTAGAAACCCTAAAACAATCCCTTATATAGGTGTACAAACGTGGATGGCAGTTTGGTAAATAACCAGACCCAAAACCAACAGGAAAACGCGTGAACAGAATCCCAAACGAACCAGGAAACCATCGATGAGTCGACTCATGACTGAGATGAGTCGACTCAACAGAAACTGGAGAAATCTCAATAACCAGCGATGAGTCGACTCATGACAGTAATGAGTCGACTCACAGGCTGAAAACTGGGTACTTCGATTCTTCTGCTCGTCGTCTTGTTCCACGCTTCCTCCTGTGTTCCCTTATACTGTTTGACACCCCCTATTCTCATGCTAGCATGAGAATCATCTATCCTCAAGCTCCCATGAGGATCGCTAAGTTCCGAAGAGAAGATACACATGTATCATTCCCCTCTGGCGCTGGCGAGGATCCTGCGCTGCAGCGACTTCAGCGGCGACTATTATATTATATATATATTATATATAAATTATATATATATATTATTTATTATATAATATAATATATTATATATATATAATGCTACAGTAATTTACTGCAGCATTTACTAAAGCATGAACAGTGATTCTTGGGTCCTCCTATAATTATAGAGGAATAGATGTATTATATTAAATATTATATTATTATAATATTATATTTAATATATTAATCTTATATTAATCTTATATTATAAGCATTAATACATCAATATCCAACCTACATCCTCTCTCAATTGTA